GCAGAGGAGCCTAGGGAGTGCTGGGTCGATTCCAGGCCCGCTCTGTTCGGGCCTGGAGGAAAACACAGACGCTCTCTGGATTGCAGGCTCAGGCACTGCCTGGCAGTCACTTACCTTTTAATTTTCCACAAAACATTGAAAAAATAAAGACAAGAAGTGCAAGTCCCCTTTAATGGGGAAAGGCCTCCGGGGCATCTGTGGAGGGAAGCACTAATTCGACCAGAGCTTGCAGGGCAGGTGGTGCCAGGCTCGGTGCCTGTTTCTCCGCACCCGCATGGCCTGGGATGGCTGGATCCAGTGGCTGCGAAAGGGAGTGGTGACTGACAGGCACCTCTGCCCAAGGGGAATGAGTTATCATTGGGTTAATCGGAATTAGGCCCAACATCAGCCCCTGGAAGAAGCCTAACGATGCTCCCGAGAATTTAAAAAAGCCAAAGATCAAAGGAAAAATAAAGATCACAGAATAAGAGCTCCCCAAGGGATGGAGGATGCCCAGTGGGGAGCGTGATCAAACGGCAGGCATGCCCCCGTGGTCAGAGTGGTGTTTCCAACCACAGCACGGGTCCATCCTTGGCATAGTATCAAGAGGGACATCGATGGAGAGTGAAGGCAGAGAGGAGCTATTCAATTTCTTAAAAATTGAGATAACAATCCTATATAGTGAAGTGCATTCATTTTAAGCACAAGCTTTTATGACTTTTTACTGTAATAGAACTGTACTCACGTAACTACTACTTGGATCAAACATAGCAAATGCCCAACACGTAAGAAAGTTTCCCCTGCCCCTTCCCAGTTAATATCCTACTACTAGTAGTATACTAGTTTATACACTCAGTAGTGAGGTTCATTCATGACGTTGGGCATAGCAAGAGTTTGTTCTTTCTTTATTGCTGATTCTAATTCCCTTGTATAACTACACCCCAGTCTATCCACTCTCCTGCTGACGGAGGCCTTTAGCTTATTTCCCACTTTTGGCTATAATCAATAAAGTGGCTAGAAACATCCTTGCAGGCACACATTTAGCTTCAGGAGATACTGCCACAGAGCCCTCCTGAGCAGCGAAGTCAGTCCTCACTCCCACCAGCTTGGTGCAAGGAGAAAATCACCTCCACCCCTACCTCCCACCAGACACGAGACATCGATCTGAGACAGATCACAGAGCTAACCATGGCAGACAAAACCGGAGGGCTTATAGCAGAGAAACTAGCAGGATGTCTTCCTGACCTTGGGATAGACAGTAACAGAACACAAAAAGCATTAAGCCATAATGAGAAATATCAATACACTGGACTTCTTTCAATGAAGAACTTTGCTCCTCCAAAGATACTGCTAAGACAGTGGAAAGGCACAGTCATCTGGAATAGATATACGCAATACACATGAACGCTTAACCAAGGGCTCTTCTCCAGAATTTATAAAAGACTTGCGCAAATCAATGACAATGACAAGCAACTGGATTTTTAGAAGTGGTTGAAAGGCTCAAAAAGGCACTCCAGGGACGAAAAAACTTGAATGATCTGTTAGCATATGAAAAGATGCCCAACCTCTCTGGTCATCAGGGAAATAACACCACCGTGAGATGCCCACTACAGAAACCACTCAGATGGCCAAAATGGAAAGAAAAGTGATTTACCAAGAGTTGGTAAAGACATGGAGCCAGGCGAGTGCCATCCACCACTGAGGGAGTGCCTATTAGTGCGGCAATCTGCAAAAACCATTTGGCTGTTTGCACAAACTATGGCTTCACACTTCCAATCCTAGGTGCACATCAACAAAAAATGCACACCCCGGCACACCGAAAGACACCTACAGTGCTATTCCATGGCCACAAACGGAAACAACTCAAATGTCCAACAGTTATTTTTTTATTTTGAAAAACGAGTACACTCATATAATGGAAAGCTATGCAACACTGAAGAACAATAGGCTACTGTTTTATTCAACAGATAAATCTCACAGGTATGTCATAGGGTGAAAGAAACAAGACTCAAAAAGCACACTCTGGAATTCTATGTATGTCAAGGTCAAAAACCAGGCAACACTAGTGCATAGCAGTAGAAGTCAGAGCAATGGTGCTAAGAACAGCAGTGAAAAGGCAAAGGGCAAAAGAGATGAATAATCTTGCGGGGACACACACACACACACACACACACACACACACACACGCGTGCTCAAAATTGTGAAAGAAAAGTCCAGAGTGTTGCCAGTCAGAAGTAGGAGAGCTGACCTTATCTGGGAAATTAGAAGGGTTGCCCTAAGGCCCAGAGGTTTGAGAGAGGCGTGAGTTAGCTAGACAAAGGGAAGTGCAGAGGTAGGACTTACAAGGAAAAGGGAACTACTAGCAGAGGGCTTAGCATGCACAAAAGCCTGAGGTGGGAGGAAGCCTGGTACCTGCAGATGGCAGGCATGACTAGAACCCAGAGGCCGAGCTAGTGAGTAGTATGGACGTGGCTGGAAGGTCATGTTAGGGCTAGATTGTGCATGCCCGCATGGGCTCCATTGATGATTCAGGGAAAGGAGGTAGGTCATACCACCCAGGGTTTTAAGCAAACAAGTCAGGTGAGCTGGTGTGGGATGGAGAGAGGCTGTGGCTTTGGTCACTTGCACCAGACAGGCTGGATTTCCTGAGCTGGGTGTTTCCGTCTCCGGCCTGCTCACCCACCCCTGGCAGTCTGCATTGCGCAGACTGGACGCTCCTACTGGAGGGAGTGCCTCAGGAGGCTCTGGAGCTCTGCCATGGGCTCACTGCTGCCTGGAGAAAGTTCCTGAACTGCAAGTGCACCACTGGACAGTTATTGTATTATTTTAGTGGTTTTTAGAGAAAAATGGACAGAAGACTCTGCTTAGCCCTTTGGGGTGGTTCTGCCCACGTAGGCCTCTTGTGTTCTGGCTTCAGGCATTTGTTCTATGTCCTGACCTTTTCACTGAGCAGTTTCCTTGGTTGAGTTTCAATCATTTTCTATATGGACAAGGCCGGGCAGAGGGTGCCAGCATGAACTCTCAGCAGGGAGGTGGACATCTGACTACACAGTGTAGGCTGCAGGGCATGCTGGGGAGGGAGTGGTGAGGACATAGCCAGAGCAGAGGGCATGCCAGCATAGGAGAGGGGAGATGGGCGATAGACCACTCTTTGAGGTTGTTGTTAGGGGGCAGGGGGAGGGAATGGCCAGAGGGCAAGTCTGGGTGCAGGTTGGCCTTGAGACTCAGGGCAACGGCCTCAAAAGTGTCAGAATTAGCTGTTTTCAATGTCAGGGACCCTCCAAACTTCAATGCACAAGGCAAGGAGAAGCAGGGTGGGAGGGACAAGGGCCAGCAGTAGGGAAGTGCTTATAGGAATGAGGCCCCTGACTTGATGGCTTAGGATGTGGAGAGCAAGCCAGTCAATGTTATAAAGGCATAGTCCAGTATGATACTTCCCATGTGCCAGTCATGGATCTAAGCACTTCACAAAGTTGTGCCCATTTTACGGATGAGAAAACTGAGGCACATATTGTCCTAGGTCACACAACTAATATCACAGTGAACAGGGTGTAAATCCAGGCAGTATGGCTGCAAGCCCAAGCCTCTCAGTTCTTCTATGCTGAAATGTTTACCCACAATAGTTCTTTGTGGGTAAACAGAGCCAGCAGTATATGGCTTTGGCAAATCTGCTCCTGGGAGCTCAGGAAACCTTCACTAGACACCGGGAATCCTTTAGAAAGACCAAGGGTCCCTTGTGGACGGGCCTCAGTTTCCCCAAGATATATGGATGATGTTGTCCCTAGCTCAACTGACAGGGGTCTTATTCAGACTCCCATTTCCTGTCCTCACACCATTCATTCATTGATTCACTCCATGATCATTTCATTGAGCACTTACTACACGCCAGGCTTTTAGTTGCCAGGGCTATATTGGTTAAAAAGAGGAGCCTTCCTTTCATGGTGTTGGAGAGAAAGAAAAAGACATTAAACACACACAATTACTTAACTATTAATTGTGATAATAGCTTTGAAGAAGAAGAGCAAGGGCCTATGACAGTGTAGTATAGGAAGGATGACCTGAGAATAAGAGTCCTTAGACCTAAGATTTTAAAATAAAGTTCCATGGAACTCGAGAATTCTAGGTAAATTATTTCCAGAGTTATCTAAACTTTTAAACTTCAATTAAATATGTACATGAACCACATTTTTAAAAACAGTAACAAGAGAGCATACTTGTATACTCAAACGTGCCACACTGGAAACAGCTAGTTCATTCAGGTATTGGTAAGTTACTTTTTTTCCTTGGAATAAAATTCTCCAGTCTTTTCTGTGCAGTGATTGAAGTTTACTGTAAATGTCTCTCTGATGAGAAGGATAATGTCCAACATTTTAAAAAAATTTAAATTCACGTGTGGGAAAAACTGATTGAATTTACTACCACCTGCTTTTATGAATTATGGTTTTCTTGTTATTTTGTAGCCAAAACAAAATATGAAAACATTGAATGCTGAGGTCAACATCAGACTTCAATGTCATCCATAGCCTGTGGGGTCAAACTGTTGAAGTCATAGAAACAGCTTTGCTGTTTTTAGTAAGTCTTTTTATGGCAAGTAAATGTTGCATATTTGAACTTTTTTGCATATTCTGTTTTACATAAATCTCAATTTTTTATATTCTGAGTAGAATTTCAATGAAATAAAGACAACTTTGAAAGTGTCTTCAGTTTAGAGGTGTCAGAGACCTGGGCTGCCCTCCATACTGCTAGCTCCCTAGCCCCATCGCAGGCCCCACCGCTCACCCCTCTTGCCCCTCCCATGTTCCCATGGCCCTCATTTCCTCATGGCCCCTGACAGTGGCATGGGAACTCCTGATGGATAACCTACTAGCCCTGAGGTGACTCATCCTAAAGTGAACTGGGACTGATACAGGTCACAAAACCAGATGGGAAAAGGATCTACACCTCAAGTCCACCCAAAAGTTTGGACTATTTTCAGCACCTTGGACAGCAAAACCCCACCATAGACAGGGCAGCACACTCACCCTTCTTGGTGGCTTCGAAACTATCGTGGAAGTGAATCCTCTGGATGTCATAAGTCAAGGTAGTGTTGGGCAGCAGAGTCCGGTTCCTGTTGATGATGTTGGCAGAAAATCGAAAGGCATGCTCCTCGGCATTCATGACCTGGGCATTGGGACCGTCTGCATACTCAAAGATTCCTCCTGCAAGAGATAAGTAAAATTGTATGTGCTGGGGAAGGAAAAGGCGCTAATAAAAATGCTTGACTTCAGAAAGGTTTATGGACAAGCTCTCCTCACCCAAGTGTTCAATAATATCCTAGATAATTCCCATATATAGAAACTGTGCTGGAGCATAAGAAATATGAAAATCCTCCTAGTTCATTTCACTCAGCTAGCAAAATTCTGATAACAGAGACTGACAAACAGAGCCAAAATAAAATCACCAACTTATTAATATGGCTATGAAAATTCTCAATAGAGTGCTAGCAAGTAGAATCTACCAGAATATCACCAGGATGACATACCATGACCATGTAGAATTATATTCCAGGAATGTAAGTGTGGTTCAATATAAAGAAATCCATGAATATCATTCCATCACATCAATAATTCACAGGGGAAAAACAAGTATGACCAACTCACAAAACACAGGAAGGCATTTGGTAAAATCCAATACTTACTGCTATTACGAATGCTTAATCAGCTAGCACCCAGAAGGATATTTCCTTGAAGCATCTTTAGTTCAAATCAGTCTTTAATATCTCACAAATGTGAAACACTGAAGACATTCTCATTAAAGAAAAAAGGGGAGGGGAAAAATTCACACTACACCATTAATCAATGAAATAAGAGAGAAAAAGAATTTAGAAGCATACCTTTTGTAAAGAAAAAAATTCTTATTTGAAAATGATATATACTGAGTGGCCAGATTATTATGATCTCTGAATGCATAATAATCTGCCTCCCCCTCTAGAGGCCTGGTGTATGTATTTGTGCATGGGTGGGGTCCAGCCAGCCTGGCTAAGGGAAAGGGAATTGCATGGTTGGCCAGCCTGCCTGCTGGTCTAACTCCTAGTGGAGGGGACAATTTGCATATTAGCTTTTTATTATATAGGATACACACTGAGTGGCCAGATTATTATGCGTTCTGAGATCATAATAATCTGGCCATTCAGTGTACATGACTTTCTTAAATAAAAACCTTAAAATATTCCCTAAGCATGAAAACTAGTAGGAAATAGAAGATTCCATTTAAAGAACCAGTTAGCACAAATTGTTTCTTTATATCAGCAACAACCAGTAAGTAAACAATGGCAAAATAATATCCTTTACAATATTAACAAAATATTAATAACTAACAACAAACCAAATAATACGTGTGTAATCCCTAGTAATCAGAATGAGAAAAACACTTTAAGTGAGAAACATAAAAGTAGACTTAAACGAGGAGGCATGTCATGTTCCTGGATATTTAGATTCAAGAGTAGAGGTTTCAGTTTTCTCCAAATTAGATTTTCAGTTTAATTCAATTCCAATTAGAATCATAGAAGGATATTTCTTTTACTTGACAAAGTGACTCTAAAATGCATCTGGAAGACTAAATAGGAGATAACAGTCTAAAAAGAGATGAGAGGTAACTTGCACCACCAGCTTTAAAATGTATCATAAAGCCAAAATAATTAAAACTATGTCCTTCCTCATGGTACATGAAAGCACAGATAGATAAATAGAATGAGATAAAAAGTGCCTAGAAAGAGATTCAAGTAGAGATAAGCATTTAAGATATAATAAAAGTAGCTATTTCCAATTAGAAGGTAAAAGATAAATTATTCAAGAATGGTACTGAGACAATTATTCAATGATTGGGGAGAAATTTAAGTTAGATTCTAATATTAAGCCACATATCAAAATAAGTTCCAGATAGATTAAAGATTACAGGGCAAGAAAGTAATGGAAGGATGGAGATTTTGTTCTTAGTGATTTTCTATATTTTCCAAATAAAACTTTATGCGTTTTAAAAATAAACTTTATTGAGGTATTATAAAATCCCACACAATTCATCTCATGCTAATTGCACAATGATTTTTAGAAAATGTGCTAAGTTGTGTGACCATCACCACAATGCAGTCTCTGAACATTTCCATCACCCCCAAAGCTCCCTCGTGCCCACTTACTCTCCATCACTGCTTTTCACCCCCAGACCCAGGCACCACTGATTTACTTTCTGCCTCTAGAGATTTGTCTTTCCTGGGCATTTCATATAAATGGAATGATGCTAGAATAGTGGTAATTTGTGGTCTTCTGCATCTGGCTTCTTTCACTCAGCATCGTGTTTTTGAGGTTTATGTTGCAGCACATGTAAGCTCTTCATTCCTTTTTGTTGTTAAGTAATATTACTTTCTACGGGTCTATCACATTTTATTTACTCATTCACCACCAGTGGATGGGTATTTGGGTTGTTTATGTGTCTGAATGTAAGTGTGGGTGGGTGTTCACAAGAATATCGAACACACAAATAAAACAAGAATAATGCATCCCCAAACACGAAGAGGATAGGATTATGGGTGACTTTAATTTCCTTCTTTGTGTTTTTCTGTATTTTTCCTAGAGTTCTGCAGTGAACATGTGTTCTATTTCTCATCAGAAATGCGATCATGTGATTATGTGTATGTGTTGCAAGGACAATAGATGATCAAAATACATTATGATCCATTTCTAGGGATATAAATTTAGCAAAAGTTAGAGATGCATTAACACATTTATGTATAAAGATATTCTTGACATAGTATTGGAAAAACACAAACAACTTAATGTTCAAAAGTTTCTCAATATATGAAAACACGCCCGAACACCTTGCAGGCATCAACAATCAGGGGATAAGAGACCAAGAGGGTGGCATGGGAAAAGGCCTGTATTTGCTGCCTTCCACAACCACATCAAAATTACAACTAAAATACAGAATAACCATCATTCAGAACCACAGGAAAGCTGGCTGAATGGAAGTCCTACAACTCAGTCCTACAACTGAGACCAGTAGCAGGTGGAGAGGCATGGAAGAGGCTGGACCGGCACCCACTTTTTTAATCAGAAGGAAGATCATTCCTGTGGAGGCCGCCCAGAGGAGCAAGGGGTCCTAGCCCCTCACCAGCCCCCCAGCCCAGGGTCCCAGAGCTGGGAAAAGAAGTCCTTACGTAAAAGTAAGAACTATGGGCTTTAAAAACCAGTGGGGTTTGGGGCTCGGTGACACAGAGGTTGCTGGAGACTCAGCCACTCCTCTTGAAAGGCTAGCACCATGAACAGAATTTACAAGCTCCTGCTTCCTCTGAGCTCCAGTGCTGGGCGAGGCTCTGGGGGACCCAGACACATACGAGGAGGAACTAAACTGTCTGGCATTGGAAGGCAATTACTTGGGGGCTGCTTTTTTCCAGATGAAGGTGCTCACAGGGGTCATTGTTCCTGTTCTGGGACCTCTGCAGTCGCAGGGCTGACTGGCAGCCATTTCTGTTTGCTTAGCCCTGGTGATTCCCTGAGACCCCACCCCATCCAATTTACAGCCCCACCCAAGCTGTGTGCAGCAGTTCTTGCATATGAATGGCTTGTCCTTACTCAGGCTAAAACCTGTCAAATAAGCTACAGCTGGATCGGGAGCCCGAAACCTATCAATAAAAGGCCCAAGACTAGGCACAGCATTAGCCTGCCTTGCTTCACAACTGGGCCTCATCTGGGCACTTCCAAACCTGATACAATGAGGAGGTTTGCAGATCTCTCAGTAGCTCCTGCAGGGTGGCCCAGGGTGTGGTTGACTTTGTACCTTCCTGGAGACCAAAAAGCCAGTGTACCCAGTGGTCAGTGTAGACCATACCAGATTATCCATAAGTGACATACTCAAGGGCAGACTCCGGGAGCACCAAAACCCCACTGAAGCAAGTCATGCTCCATAAGGGTATCTCCTGCACAGCAGCTCTCCCACTGTAGTCACAGCTGGACCCCACAGTCAATTGGCCTGGAAGTCAATTCCTCTCAGTGACACCAACAGCAATCAAGGCTCAACTACAACAATACTGTGCACATAGCCCACAAAGGGGTGTATCTAGAGCAGTGGTTCTCAACCTTTCTAATGCTGCGACCCTTTAATACAGTTCCTCATGTTGTGGGGACCCCCCAGCCATAAAATTATTTTTGTTGCTACTTCATAATTGTAATTTTGCTACTGTTAATGAATCATAATGTAAATATCTGTGTTTTCCGATGTTCTTAGGCTCTACAGCAGCGATTCTCAACCTGTGGGTCACGAGAACCCCTAATCTAGAGTGTCCACCTCAGGTGATTGGAGAGGCTGAGCCACTGGCCCTATAGGACACCTAGCACACAAGGACACTCTATCAACTTAAGGAGACTTAGAAGCTCTACCCAATACATAGAAACAAACAGAGGGAAATAGCCAAAATGCAGAGACAAAGAAACATGTTATAAATGAAGAAAACGGGAAGAAAGTAAACTACTGCATAGAGTTCAAAATCACAGTTATAAGGTTACTCAAGAATATTCTGGAAACCTTCAAGGGACTTAGTGAGACTTTAAAGGATCTTAATGAGAATGCCAAAAGAAAAAAAGAAAAAGAAAATGGACCAGTCAGAAATTTAGCATACACTGACTGAAATAAAGAATAATATATAGAGTTTCAATAGTAGACCAGAGGATCCTGAGAATCAAGTCAATTATTTGAAATATAAGGAAGCAAAACAAACAAACAAAAAACCCAACCAGAATAGCAAAAATATAAAAGAATCCAAAAATATGAAGATAGTGTAAGAAGCCTCTGGGACAGCTTAAAGCATATCAACATCCAAATTATGGGGGTGCCAGAAGAAGAGAGAGAGCAAGATATTGAAAACCTATTTGAAGAAATAATGACAGAAAACTTCCCTACCTGGTGAAAGAAATAGACTTACAAGTCCAGGAAGCATAGAGAATCCCAAACAAAAGGAATCCAAAGAGGACCACACCAAGACACAATATAATTAAAATGTCAAGGGCTAAAGACAAAGAGAGAATCTTGAAAGCAGCAAGAGAAAAATAGTTAGTTACCTACAAGGGAGTACCCGTACGACTGTCAACTGATTTCTCAACAAAAACTATGCAGGCCAGAAGGGAGTGGCAAGAAATATTCAAATTGATGAATAGCAAGGATCTACAACCAA